GAAACAACCTTACTATCCATAAATTGGCAACTCGATCTATGAAATTTGGTATAACAATGCAGTAGAATACTACTCAGCAATGAAGAGGAATGACTCATACACAGTACAACATGAAATTAACAAAATAAAGATTAAAAAAATCCAAGATATCTATGAAGCTGGCTCTTTGAAAAGATTAACAAAATAGACAAGCACCCTTCAACACCAGTTTCATTGAGGGCTGAAACCATAAAAGGATGTTGAATCTTATCAGTGCTTTTGCTGCATCTGTTGAGAGATCATGTGATTTTTGTCCTTTCCTTTGTTGATGATGTATCACACTGATTTCACACATGGAACCATCCTTGCAACCCTGAAATAAATCTCACTTGATCATGATGTACGACTCTTTTAATGTATTGCTGTATTCCGTTTGTCATGATTTTGTTGAGTAATTTTGCATCTGTATATCAAAAACCAAAAAGTTTGGTCCTCCCTGATGGCACAAGGGATTAAGTCTCAGCACTACGAAGCTATCAACAGACACTACAGCCAGGGAGCTAACCTACATGGCACAGCAGACCTTTCCTGTCTCATTCCTGCTCCCCTCAACAGTGTATTTCAGTAGATCCTCCTGCTCGGATCCTCACTCTGTCTCTTGTAAATCCTCTCACCCCACACTTCTGACCTATACCCCAGTTCTTGTATGCATAAATAAATAAAAATAACAAATCTTTTTTTTAAAAAATACAAAATTTGTATTTTTTTGGTTTTGTTTTATTTTGTTTTGTGTGTGTGTGTGTGTGATGCCCTTTTCTGGTTTTGGATTCAGGATAATGTTGGCTCATAGAACATGTTTGAAAGTTTTCTCTCCTTTTCCATTTTATTGAAGAGTTTGAGTAGGATGGGTATTCTTTGAAAGCATAGGAGAATTCACTAGTGAAGGTATCTAGTCCTGGCTTTTTATATTTTAGGAGGTTTTGATTATTGTTTTTATTTGATTGCTCATGACCTGTCTGTTTGGTATTTTTTATTTCGTCCTGTTTAAGTCTGGGAATGTTGTGCTCCTCAGAATGTGTCCATTTCTTTTGGTTGTCAAATTTGTTGCCATATAATTGATCTCATACTCTGTTGCCATATAATTGATCTCATGTCCCTTTGCATTTCAGTAATATCTGTTGTCACTTCTCTTTCTTTATTTCTGGTTTCATTTATTTGATCTTTCTCTCAGAATTTTTGTGAGCCTGGCTAAAGTTTTGTCTATTTTATGGCAGATTATAACACTAAAATACCAAAAATACGTTACATTTCTATACACAAATAATGAAATAACAGAAAGAGAGCTCATGAAAACAATCCCATTATACTCCCATCAAAAAGAATTTAATACCTTGGGATAAATTTAACCAAAAAAGTTTTCACTTTTGGTATCTGTATCCCAAAACCAGAAGAAAATTAGAGCAATTTCATTCACTGATTAATTAAATTTAGTCAAGTCCCTGGGTTTAACAGTGATACGGTTCTTAGCACTTAGTTGCTTTAGCAAAAGCGAAAAGCTTAGTGACTCAGTGAAGAAGAGAATATGTAAGACAATCCCCTCAAATACTTTTTAAATTCTATTGAGTGTTATGAAGTGTTCTACCATGGGAGAGTAATAGTATTTTATGCCATCATTAAATAAGTAGTGGTGAATGAACAAGGTTTAAAAGAAATAAGATATCATTTGCGCAATGTGAAAGTCAACCAGAAAAAAGTAAAAGTTTTCCTCAAATTTTTGTTCTTGCTTTTAAATACTCATATCTGCTACCGGTTTTCTTTTTCCTCTTGTGATATTAATATCAATATAAGAGAATAAGCATTGATACTTAAAGGGAGATGTTGCTGATTAGGTGAAACCGCCTTCTTTCTCTTGTTTCAATTGACTCTCCATTGTCTTTTTTGTCTTCCATGAATAGATTCAAATACACAAAAGGCATTATCTGTTAGCATAGTGTTTGCGGTTGCTTTAGAATAGATGCTGGAGAAAATCTTTTGCTAAACTGGTCTTAACTGCTATTCAGGAGGTTTTTATCTTGTTTTCCCAGGGTCTCTTATTGTTAAGAAGAGTTAGCCTGTCAATGGAAAATTGTGTCTATTAGACATCTCAGAAATTTGTTACTGATAAATGAAACAGCCACATTAACCCCTAAATAAAACAATGCTTTTCCAATTTTTAGAACTATTGGTTCTTGTTATTAATAATGTAATCTTTATTCTAATATTAAATTCTAGAATGTTTAAGGGTTAGGGTTGCTCCACAATGTAAGACTTCAGCCTGAACTCTTATCTGTTCAAGTGGAATAAGTAAGTCAGAGTAGTGTCCTTCATGCTTCTAGAGCATTGTCACATACAAACTCAAAAGCTGTATTAACTGAAAAAGAGAGAGAGGAGGGATGAAGGATAGGGTGGGGACAATCATGCTTTTGCCATCTACCACCTTATAATATGGAGGGACTGAGTTACTTCTAAACTGTATAGGGGGATGGAGGTCTCTCCAAGGCATTCCAAAGGTGCTGAGTCATGATACTTGGATTTCTCTGATTGTTAGAGTTGTGGAGAAGCTGTTAGGTCACAGAAAAGGCTAAGAGAAAGGTTGAATGCCGCTGACCACATAGGGGAAAAGCAAATGTACAGAAGGGAAGTTCCTGAATAATAGTATTTTTGAGAAGGCAGAATGGGGGGAAGGAGGAAGACAAAAAGAAAGGGAAAGAGAAAATTCTCTATAAGTACTCTGTACATGTTATTTCACTTAATATTAGAAAGAAATCTATGAAGTAAATATTAATCTCATTTTATAGATGAGAAAACTAAGATTTAGATACTAGATCATTTGTCTCAGACTCTAGAATTTATTAGTAGAAAAGCTGGAGTTTGAGCCCAGGGCTATTTCATCCCAAAGTCATACTCTTCACCATGCCACCAGAGTCAGATATAAGGGCTTTAGAAAACTTACAATTTCCAATTGTGGAATGTTGTTAATTTTATGCGTATTATATTTTGAGGGTTTGTGTGATCTATATGAACTCTGTCTTTTAAAATTACTGGTTTTTATTTTGTGAGCTGATTCAGTTTTGAGACAGTTTTGTGTTTGTATAGAGAGAATATCTTTTCTCCGTTTCAAGGTGCAAAGATAAATGTGAGTCTTTGTATTTTTATGTTGCACTATATCGTTAAAGATTATTTTTAATGATCTAGGTACTTCTGTCAGTTGTATCAGTATCTCCCCCAAATACCGGTTGGAGTAATTGCAAGGCCTTAACAATCCACATCACAAATCTTCGCTAGGGACAAGATTTATTTCTATACTTGTATAAATGTACAATTGGATAGTGAAGAGGGGTGGGTGTCACGATCTAGGTAGAAAACTAGATAATGAAAAATGGGATATAAAAACAAGTGTAATAATATAGGTCCTTATACAGAATGGGTTTGATGACCCTGGACAAGTCACGTCTCAGGGTTTCTATTTCTTCATATCTCTAATGGGATTGGTCATACTTGCTTTGACAACATTACAACATCCTCCAAAATTGCAACATCCTCCCTCTGGTGTAGAGAAACCCCGCCCAATAACTTGAGTCGCCCTCTTCATAGTACTGGCAGCTTGGAACCTGCTGGAAGGTTGTTAAAAAAAAAAAAAAAAAAAAAAAGCAGAAACCTGTGAGCAGCTGAAAATTTCGCTGTAGCACAATCAGCCTTGGTGGAACCTGTGCAAAACCTCTCCTTCGGCAGTGGGGGCTGACTAGCAGTGTTGTCCAGATGTTTATTAACCAAAAGAGGCTTTCGCCTATTCCTAGGTTTGGGGCGGGTGGAGACCTGAGTGCGGAGATAAGCCTGGGGAGCCGCTGGCGCCTCCGAGCTGTCAGCAAGCAGCCGCCGCTTTAAATCTAAGTGCTCTGCCCTCTGTAGGGAAAGGGTCTGATAGTGTCTCGGAGGCAGGAATGCAGGGAAGGTGTTCTTCGCGCTCCCGCGTCTTTTGGGGAAGAAAATTGAGCGCCTGGAGCGAGCGCGGGGCCGGCCGAGCCGCGGGGGTCCGCGCGCGGCGCGTCACGCGGCAGCTCCCCAGCCGGTGTGTCCCAGCTGCCTTCTTGCCGCAGCCCGCATTCCCAGGCCAGGTTCGTTCGCCGCATTTGTGAGTGAGCGCGCACACACACACACACACACACACACACACACACACACTCGTACCCTGGGCACGACCCTTTCGTCTGTTTCCTCCGGGGAGGCCGCCTTTCCGCGACGCAGCCCCGGCCACCCGGCGGAGGAAGGGGCCGAGGGAGGGAGCAGGGCCGGAGAGACGTTTTGTACGATCAAAGGCACCGAAATGTGCTGCCAACTCTAAAAGGGTTTGCTTTCTTAGTTTTCAATTGTATTTATTTATTTATTTTTTTAACCAACAACCGCAGAAGAAAGCCTGCTCGGCCACTGCTACCGCGGCCGAGAGATCCCGGGTTCCCCTCGCAGACGGCGGCGGAGCGGGGCCCTCTGCTCGGCCTCGCCGCTCTGCAGGGGGTGGCTGCCGGCTTCAGGGTATTCTTGGGCAGGTGAACGTTGGTTTAGGATAAAGCCCTAAAACTGCCAACTGGCACCTACTGTTTCTCTGCCTGCCCCGCAAAGGACGTGTCGGGCTCACAGCCCCGGCGAAGGGGAGGCTCCTCCTTGTCCCTCCTCCCCATCCCAGCCTCTGCTCTGGGCTTTACTGCAGCAGCCGGAGGTGACAGCAACGCCTTTGCCTCCCGGGTTGCTTTTGGAACCCGGGTTTCCCCAGCCTCCGAAGGCGCCCCCTTTCTGAGAGGTTGGTCCCCGGAGAAATGCTAATGAACTGCAGAAAACCAAATTTTAAAATGTAGAAGTTGTGGGGCTGCATTCCTCAGAGGACGAGTCTGATCACACAGGACTGAGGGCGGCAGTGTGTGGGAAATTGAGGCGTAGAGCACAGGGGTGGGTGTCGGGGGAGGGGAAGGGGAGCGGTGCAGCGGCGTTCTCTTCTGCAAGGAGTTGCTGGAGCAGTGCGGTCGGACACAAGTTTGCGTGGGAGTGTTTTTCTTTTGTCAATAATTAATCACCGGAATCAGTGTGGTAGAATTGGAGTTTTAGCAATAGTGCAGAGGGCGGGGCCGAGCACCTAACTCTCTGAGGCTCTAGCTGCCCAGCGCAGAAGGAAGCTCCAGCAGTTGGGGAGGAGCCAAAGCCACCGTGCTCCCCTAAGCCGCGGCGACATACACCCAAGGGGAAGGTAAGCATCTTCCAAAATTAACTGCTTGAACCATAAAGTAGCTTTAGTAGGAAAGAATTCCTGTTTTTAAAGGGGAGAAATTAATGCTGGGCTTTAATGCAATTAAAGCAATTCCTGTTTATTAGTTAGATGCATTAAAATTTTAAGAATTGAGTAGATTTTTCCAATTGCCTTTTACTACGTTAGAAATATATTTTAATATTTTCTCATGATTATTAAGCAGTATGTAATTTCTCAAAGATACTAAAATGAGCATTTATAAACTTCTAAACCCAAAGAGAAAGGTGTATTAACTTTGCTGGGGTGGCGGGGAGAATCTAAAGAGAAGGGTTTCAGATATGAGCAGAGATTCTAACTTTCAGCTAAAGTGTCATTCAATTTGAAGAATTGTTAAATGTAAATATTAGCACTAATAAATAAATGCAAATAAATGCATCAGCGAAGTTGGGAAAGTAGTTTCTCTAAAATAATTTGTGCTGTAGCACTTTTGAATTAAGTAAAATTAAGAAATTCATGTTTATTTTTGCTTTTGTACTTTTTAGAATATTGCATAAACTGATGAGGTTTTTAATAACTTGATTTCAACTTCTGAATTATTTCTATATTTTAAAAATAGAATCATTTTTGGTTATCAGAGGGAACAGAAGAAAGAGTGGCGGGGTGGGGGAGAGAGGCAGATGGGTAAGTGCGGTTTGGTGGAGGAAATTTAAATAAATAATAAAAATTAAAATGAAGTAAAAATAGGCATCATTTAAATGGTTATTTCAATGGCAAAAAAATGGCCTGATTTTAGATTACTGCAACAAATTCTCATGTGAAATGTAATGCCACCCTTATTATTCAAATTTTTCTCTATGGCTATTTAATAACAATAAATTAAGCATTATTTTTAGAGCAAATACATGGAGATTCTAAAATTTGATTGAATGTGAAGCTAAAATTGAACTATTTCTCAATTTCATTGGTTTTCTTAGTACATTGTAAATTTACAAATAATTTTTTGTAAAAACTGACCTTCATAATTCTATAGCTACTATATCATCATAAACATCATCACTGAAAGTTATCCAAATGAAACTCAATCTCCAGAATGGTACTGCTCCATGAAGGAGCTCCATGAACCCCCTCCTTAGCCAAACAATAATAACTAGTAAAAATTTTAGATTAAAAACCATTTAAAGTCTCTGGATAATGACCTGAGGGAATACAAGTATGAAGAAAAATTTATTCCAGACAACCTGCTCATTTCAGCATGAACAGCAAAAGTTAGAAGCACTTAAACCAAAATCCGCTTCCTTGGCCCCCTCTAACTGGATGTGATGGTGCACTGATCCAAGCGGTGTAAACACAGGAGGCTTCTCCTCTCAACCTAAACCTATCAACCTCTCAACCTCCTCTCAACCTCCTCTCCCAGTCAGTCTAGGGCTTTCTTAGGAAAAGCAGGCCACGAGAATCTTATCCTCCTCAACTTTGTTTTATAGAAGCTCTATTCTAGGCAAAAGCAAGTGAGAGGTCTGAGACTTTCTTCCTCCAACCATCACTCATTCTTGAGGCAAAAGAAGGAAGTCAAATAAACACAAATAACCCATTTTAAAATGGGCAAAGGATTTGAATAGGCAAACATTCCTCCAAATATTTATAAACAGCTGTAAGCACATGAATATGTGCTTACTGTCATTAGTAATTAGGGGAATGAAGATCAAAGCCACAGATACCATGTACAAACCAAAATGACTATAATCAAAAAGAATGATAATTACAGTTGTTGGAGAGGAGGTGGAGGTATTGGGACCATCATATATTGCTGGTGGGAATGTAAAAAAAAAATGGCGAGCTGCTATGGAAGATTGCTTGATAGTTAAGTTAAATAGAATTATAATTCAGCTATTCCAGTCTTAGGTATATAAACAAAAGAATTAAAAACTTAAGTCCATGTAAGAACTTGTACACTAATGTTCAATGCTTGTAACAGCCCAAAAGTGAAAACATACAAATGTCCATTGATTGATGATGGATTTTTAAAATGTGTCAATGAATGGAACAATAGAATAACATTCAGCAATTACAAGGAAAAATGAACTGGTACACTCTACAACATGGATGGACATTGAAAAGATTATGCTAAGAGAAAGAAGACCACATATTGAATATTTCCTTTTATATAACATCCACAATAGGCAAACCTACAGAGGTGAGAAAGAGATTAGTTGTTGCATGTGGCAGAAATAGAGCACCCTCTATAGTGATGCTTGCATAACTAAGTATACTGAAAACATTTGAATAGTGTATTTTAAATGGGCAAATTGTGTGGGATGTGAATTATATCTTAACAGATTTTTTTAATATAAATTATCCAAGGCATGAAAAGAAATTTAAAGATGGGTTTAGAACTTGGAGTTCATGAAACTCCATGTAGTCTGCATGAGACTTTTTCTGTTGAGTCACATTGAAATATATAAAATAATTAAGAGTGGCACAAGTGAGACAATTATGTCATTTAAATATATTTACACAGCTGCCCAAGTTTTTAGAAATAAGTCAAATGCCATTAATGCAGTTCTTCGTCTTTTTGGAGTCATCATTCATTTTCTTATTCCAAGCCCAGTAAGGCCATTTGTTCCTAGGTAAGTATAGTTCTTTATCAGATCATAGACCAGTTGTTGAGAGAAGCTGCACTGGGTGTGAGAGGGAGGTTACCTGAATCTCAGTCAAAATGTACTTGTCTGCCAGTCCGATAGGCCTGGTTTCACTGACTAGATTGGTCCTGAAAGTAGGAGTCTTTGGGGTGAAAAGGGAATCAAGAGTTGCCACTATAGTTAGTCCTCATAGCATACCAGTATGTAATTACTAAGAAGTGTCTCCTGTGACTATTTCAATAAAGGAGGAACTGCCCAATAATCAATATGCTGCTCTATTCATCTTTTATGTTTTGAGTTCCCATAAAATGCTTATGCTGTACTCAGAACCATGGAATTTAAGGATAATACTTTGTCCAAAAATGGAATATAAAATTAGTGAGCCTCTGAGTTTCCTGGTGGTAAGCAGAACCTGAACTTGTTGCCAGAAACAGTTATAAGTCCATGACCTCAGTATTTTCCAGTAGAGCTTTATTCTTCCATGTATATAGTTTAAAAAGCATACCAGGGCCTTCCCGGTGGCGTAGCGGTTGAGCGCTGGGTTGCGAAGCCGCCCGCAGCCTCTGTGGCGCCGGTTCGATCCCTGGCTGCTCCCAGGCCACTGGAGGAGGGTCCCACGTGGCGCACAGACCTCTCCTGCCGCCCGCTGCTCCCCTCAGCAGTGTGCTTCGGTCCTTCTGCCAGCTCTGCTCCCTGCTCTGGCTCTGGTGAATTCTCTCACCCTCCCTCGCTTCTGACTGTACCCAGTGCTTGTATAAACAAAAAAACAAACAAATAAATAAATAAAACATGCCTCTATTAAAAAAAAAAGGGGAAAAAAATAAAAAAATAAAAAGCATACCATACTGATAAAAAAAAAAAAGGTGGAGTGGCTCTGTGTGGCTTTTCGCCATAGAAGTTTTTTGAGCTGTCTTGTCATATTTTGTACAATTAGATTTACAAAAAAAATAATTTTAAATGTCCAACCAGTTGTCTATAAAATAAACACATACAGGAAAAAATGGTCATAGTTATTTACTAACAGTGCTTTGATCGGGATTACTTATTTATTCAACAGATATTTATTGCGCATCTGCCCTATAGCAGGACAATTCAGGACTCTTGATGGGTAAAAAACAATACAGGCCAAAATGTCAACTTTTGAGGAACTTACATTCTAGAGGGATGTCAGACATTTAAAAATAATAATAATAATATAGTGATAATAACAATTAAATTATGCAGCATAGACAGGGAGATCAGGGCTCTGGAGAAAAAATAAACAGGGAAGAGAATGAGGTACAATTTTAAATTGGGGCATCAGTCTAAAAAGTAAGGTTATATAATTAGATAATGTAAAGATTATGAACAAACCTGACCACTCTGACTCTGGAATATGCTATAAGGGTTAACCAATTCTAATTTAACCTTGCCCCCTAGGAGCTTTGGTTCTCTGTTCCCATAGCATTATATTGCTTCCTTGAATTTGTTGCTGTCTCTCTAAGGAAAATATTATATTAGGCCCAACACATTCCAAGCAGGCACAGGAAAGACATAACCTAATACCTTCTCTTAAAAAGTATGACTTATGTAAAACACCACTTTATAATAACAAAAATTCTTGCGCAGGGAAATTATCAGCCTGGGCTTTTAGTTTTCTTCTAGCCATTCTCTGTCACTTTGTACTGGATTCTTATAGTCTCCCAGAGAAGTATGTGGAAAATAATCAAAACTCCTTTTCCAAAAATTAATACTTTTTGAAGAGTGAGAAGGTAGGATAGAGGTTGAGAGGGAAAAAAAATTCCAGGCCATTCTGGAGAGGTGAAGGGAGACCAAATCTTTCAGAATATATATAACAGTATGGAATCCCACATATATATATATATACTAGAAAAAGAAGGAAAAGCAACCAGTCTTCACTTTCCCAGACTGTCCTGGAATCCTTACACCGGGAACATGAATTTAAAGATACCAGAGGACACATTGTTCTAGAAAAATGCAATGGGTATAGTAGCTTTCTGGAATAGAACTTTAAGCAAAAGAAACAAGGACTTGATTTTTTTATTTTATATATTTTTACATCATTTTTCATTTTTGTACAATGTATACAATGTATAAAATAGTTATAGTCCCCATAAAATTCCCACCACCCTTGCTTTGATACTACTCCCTACCCTACCCCCCAATCCCCCTCCCAGTAGAGTGTCTTCGGTTTATAATTGCTTGTTTATTTTGATTTTACTTTATTATGATTAATACTTTTCCTGATCCTTTATTTGGGTCTTCTAAATTCCTGCTATGAGTGAGACCATCTGGTATTTTTCTTTTTCTGTTGGGCTTATTTCACTGAGCACAATCCCTTCCAGCTCCATCCATGTTGCTGCA